ATAATACAACTGTTTCTTCTCGCCGGTGGCAAATAGCAGCTGAAACCCGCTCTCTGGAGAGCAGATGCCTGAGATGCTTCAGCCAGCAAACCCTGCTACGTTGGGCACTGGTGGGATGCAGGGTGCAAGGCTTGGGCCTTGAATTGCTGCACATCCCCGGTGCCCAGCCTGGCCCTGCCGACCCCTCTCTGACACACTACCGGCTCCCCCGAGCACTATGTAGGGCGGTGGGACGGTGAGTGTTTGGTTATGGAACTGAAGAGCTGATGCGAAGGGCAGCTGCGGCACGCATGGCACCGCTGCACGTAGGAGTCAGGGACTGTCCAGCACATCCATCCATCTTCCCTTGCCCTGCACCCGAGCTGCTCGTCTCTCACTGACCCCGGTGCCTCCTGCGCCTCTGCTCTGCTCCTGGGTCTCTCTTTGCAAGTTTACAGATTAAAGCTGAGTATTTTGGAGGCTTTGCATCTGCCTGTTTTTTTATTGCGTGAGAAATCCCTGCCCTGGGTCTGGAACGTGGGAGGCTGCTGCACCCAGGCGCTGCAAAGAGGAAGCACCCACAGCCCCTTCCCTCCCCGCCGGGGCTTTCGTTGCACATTTCAGACAGTCCAAAGGTGAGAGAGGAAGAGTAAACATGGCCTGTTAAATTAAAACCAACCTCCTCCCCTGCTGTTCTCATGGTGCGGAGTCCAGCATTCCCCAAATAACTCCGTCTTCCCACCAATGGCGTTGCTGCTGCTGCTTGGCTGATGTCTGCAAAAAATGCTGGATGGCTTCAACACAAACAGACGTTGGCTCTTTTCTGCTTCCCCCCTCCAGCCTGAGCTCCCTTAACGTTACGCCGAGCCGCAAAGGGCTCAGGCAGGAGCAGGAAGCTGGGCTGTGATGGTGCTGCCTGCACCAGTGCTGCCTGCACCCTGCCGTCCCATGGGTGCTGCCGGGGTCTGCCAGACCCAAAAGCAGCTCCAGCTGTTTCCTTTGTTGCTGCCTTTCTTCCTTATCGTGGTCCCATGTTCAAACCAGCCCTCTTGGAGCTGGGTTTTGTTTCCTGACTTAATGTTCCCAAAAACCATCCCCCTCGTCTCCCCTTTGAATATGCACGCTTATGGAGCCATGCTTCTCACAACCCCCTTGCCAAGGGGAGGGCTGTGCAGCCCTGATGCTGCAGGCGATGGACCCCCTCCCATCCTGGGGCTGTACCACGACACGCTTGCCCTGGTTTTCCTCTCCGCAGGCATCTGCCTCCAGCCGCCGTGGGATTCCTCTCCGCCGCCTTTCTCAGGGCCAAGTGGCCGCGTGCGAATGCTCAGCCGAGTGGAGGAAACAAATGAGCCCACTCTCTGCTCGCAGCTCGGCCCCGAGGAGCCGGAGCACAGCCAGCCCCCAGCACATAGGGGGCTTCTTGGCTGCTGGGGTCCCTGCAGCAGGGGTTGGGTGCAGAGCCACCCAGGAGGGATGTGTCCTGCATTGTGCTGCTGCCATCACCTTCCTGCTCGACCAGCTGTGGAATGGTTAAATGTGAACCTGGCGGCCCTGAGGACCTTTGGCCAGCCTGAACTTCAGCCAGGCCCTGAAGGCCAGCAGTGAGAGACATGGGTGGTACCTCCATGCCACCCTCCTCAGGGCAATCCCAGGAGCCAGCTCTGCCTGAAACTGGAGCCCTGCCTCACTCTGCCCTGGCTGACCCGAAATCCCAGGATCTCACACTCTCA